ACTTATTTGCCTTTGATTTGAAGTGTTGTAGTGATCAGGAGATTTACTGTTAGAGAAAAATCAGATAGCCCTGGACCTATGGACTTAATTTATAGGAGTTCCTCTGTTTTGCTCTATAAAATGGGAACAGTTCAACCACCACATGCATTGATTGGAGCATATGTCTGTTTTTGCGAGTCTTCTGGGTCCTGTGAAGAATAAAAGAAGAATAAAGAGGATAGCGTCTACCCTCTTAGCAACTTCCCATGTCAGTGGGAGCCTCGTGTGTGAAGGGAACTTTGTATCTGGAGACGCTCGAGACAGACCGCAGTATGTGACCGTCCGTACGCCATTCACATCCGGAGAGAGAGGCTCGGGCTGCAGATGCCAGTAGACATCGGGTTCAGTGTGGGCTGGAGGAAGTCTCCGTTGATAGTGGCGGCGCTTAAACTGAGCCCTGGTGTTTGGAATGATCTTGAAGGAATTGGAGGGGTGGACACTCCTGATTCCGATAATGAGACTAACCCGCTCTCCCCAGATTCCCCGTTCCTGCTCCGTGGGGACCTTCCTTCTTCTTTCCTTGTCCTTCTCCCCCTCGTGGCAGTCCCCTGCCCCCAGCTCCTTTTGGCATCAGACCTTTCCTCCCCGCTTCCCTCTCACTGGAAGTAACCAGCCCTGTCACCCATGCTCACTGCACAGTTGTTTCCCTCGGCCCTCCCAGAAGACCCACATGTCCTAATGCAGCAGAAGCAATGTGCGTGACACATCGGGCATGGACCGGGAGTTCACGCTGACCTGAGTCTGAGTCTCGGTCCTGCTCTGCTCGAGACCCGTGGATGTGGGCAAGCTGATTGCAGGTTGGGTCATCTCCTGTACCTCAGGGCTGTTTTCTCGATGAAATGAGATAATGCATGGGTAAAAGGTCCGGCACAGGTAAAGACACCCCCAAAATACTGGTTCCAGCTTTGCCCTGGCTTATTTCAGCCAAGCCTGATGGCACAGAGGACCAGCCAGGGGGATGGAAGAGTGAAAGCACTCGCACTGGGGAATCTGATCACACTGGCCGTGGCTCTGGTCTCTGATTCTAGGAGAGTGACTTGTCTGGAGCCTTCCCAGGAGCTGTGCTCAGCATGAACCTGGATAACGTATGTGAAGTGTTGCACCCCAAGGTTGACATGTAGAAAGTGCTGGAGCATCACCATCGTGGCCGAGCCCAGGCCACAGAAACTGAACCCCGTGGTGGCATCGGGTAGAACATTCGTACCCGCCTTAGAAAGATGATGAAACACGTTGGAAATGATCGATCGTCTCTACAAAGTCTTTACACAGATTTCTCCATTTCTAGGAGAGGTCCCTACAGGCTGGGAGCGTTTGGAAATAGGACCTGGGAGCCCCAGCATGACCGGTTTTCCTGAGTTGCCCTTGGGAGCGCACACACAGAGTGATTACTATGTGCCAGGCAGTTTTCTGAGCACTTGACCTACGTTCATGCCGGCAGTTCTGGTTTTCATCTTGTTTTCCCTTATGAATTTGCTCTGTGTCCTTGAGGAAGTTACCCACCCACCTTCTCTAAACAAAGAGATAATTATATGCACTTCATAAGGTTTGGGAGAGAATTAAATATGATAATGTATGTAAAGTGTGAGGTATATAGGGGGTGCTCCGGGATGGTGACCAATATGACTTTTATTAATAATGTGAACTCCCCTATTTATTTTCTGGTTTTGTACCTGTTTCCAAAGGCCTTGCCTGCCCCAGACCCATCCTTCTGCAACTGGGAATACAGTTTCAGGAGAAGTCCACCTTCTCTTTCTGGGTGCACTCCTACTTAACTCTCAAGACCCATTTCAAATGTTTCCTGCACTGTGAAACTTTTGCCAGTTTCCACAGAGTAAGACAAATTGCCTGCTTTGCCACACCTCCATCCTGGCATCACATCATATGGTAGCTGTGTCTGTTTATGCTCTATCTTCTTGGGCAGCTTGGAAGTTTCTAGAGGTGTAGTAATGGCTGCACTTCCCCTAGCTTGGCAGTTCTCCAAGAGCGGTCTACAGACTCCTGGGAGCCCACAAAACTCTTTCAGGGGGTCCTTGAGGTCAAAACTATTTTCATAACTCTAGGACATTATTTGGATTTTTCATCCTGTTAACATAGGTAGTGGTGGTGGGTAAAAGTGCCAGCATTGGTTTGAATCGAGGATATGGCATCAAAACGCACAAGGAATGGTCATACCCGTGACCATCACACAGTTGCATTAAAACACATGCCAGTTTCACCAAGGATGCCCTTAATGAGGCAGCAAAATGATTAAGTTTATGAAATCTTGGCCCTTGCCTTTTTTATTTGTTTGTTTTGAGAGAGAATGTGAGCAGGGGAGAGGGGGAGAGACAGAGGGAGAGAGAGAATCCCAAGCAGGCTGTCCGCTGTCAGCGCAGAGCCTTGACACGGGGCTCGATCCCGCAAAGCCGAGGTCATGACCTGAGCCGAAATCACGAGTTGGACATTTGACTGACTGAGCCCCCCTAGGAGCCCCATCAACCCTTGTCTTTTTAATACTCTGTGTAAAGAAAAGTGGGAGGTACAGATAAAGCACTTTGGCTGCATACAAAAACACCACAGTTGAAGGTAATGTGGAGGAAAAGCGCATGCGTGATTTGAGTCGTGAGCTGAATTAGTCATTGCTTTTTCATGACACATGCTTTTTACTTGAAAGAACAACTGACAAACACCATGGTGGTTCAGATTTGGGCATTTTGCAGATGTTCTCTCAAAAATGAATTAAGCGAGCCTGTCATTTTAAGGAAAGCAATTGGCAGTGTTGGTTACCAACGATGAAGTTCAAGCTCAGTGAAAAGCAGAAGTTTGGAAAGCTTCATCTGCCGTTCTGAACTTGACATCCTCTCATTAAATGTCCTGGAGGAGAATTGCAGCAATAACTGGTGAATTTGAATTTGTGGTACTGTACCATGAAATGTGTCAATGTTTGGAAAATCTGCAGGAGTCTGTGAAGCAGTTGTTTCTGAGTGAGCAATCAAGATGTTGTGAAATCTTGCCTGGGTAGGATATCCATTCAAAGTGGGAGACAGACCAGTGGATTTTAATGGGGCAAAGTAGAACAGTTCAGCAAGGCAGTTTCGGATTTTACATTGTAGCTATGCTTAACCGAAGCTTGTCAAGTGTGACTGTAGTACAAAGAATATCCATCATTATCTGAAAAGGCTATTAGAATGCTTCTCAGTTTTCTAGCTGTATATCTGTGTGACGCCAGATTTTCTCTCTACATTTTAACTAGAATAGGCTATTCCCCCAGACTGAAAGCAGAAGCCGATCTGAGAATCCAGCTGTCTTCCATTAAGCTGGACATTAAAGAGATTTGAAAATATGTAAAACAGTGTCCCTCTTCTCACTAATCATCTTCGTTCTTTAGGTAGAGTTTATTTTTTATTTTTTAAAAATTTTTTTCAGGTTATTATTATTTTGAGAGTGATAGAGAGCAAGTGGGGGAGAGCAGAGAGAGAGGGAGACACAATCCCAAGCAGGTTCCACACTGTCACAGAGCCCAGTGCGGGGCTCGAACTCACAAACTGTGAGATCGTGACCTGAGCCGAAATCAAGCGTCAGAAGCTTAACTGACGGAACCAAGCAGGTGGCCCTGATAAGAGTTTATTTTTGTAAAATATGAACATGTTTTCGTTTCATAAAATATGTGATGTGTTAACATGTAATGGGTTACTTTGAAATGAAGAAAATCATGAATATTCATGCAGTTCTTCAGTTTTTGTTTTCTATATGATAAATAGCAGCGAAAGCACTTTGGGGTCCCTCCTCAATAATTTTGAAGTATGTAGAGGCATCTGAAGACCAGAGAGGTTGAGAGCCACTGACTCATGACCCGGCACATAGTAGGTACTCACAAAACAGATGTGGCGGCCAGGCCTTGGGAGGTGATGACAGGCCAGGCTGCCTGGTTCCCATGTTTCTCTGTTCTTCGGACGGTTTCTGGACATCCTGGTCCTTCCTCCTGTGATGTGAAGCAGAGCTGGACGTGGTGACCTTGGAGCTCCTTCAGACTGACTCCCACCACCTGGTTTATGCTAAGTGACATTACTCGTGAGGCCTCACGTCCACATCCCCAGATCACCTCTGCAGGGTCTAATTCCATTTGTTTTCTGCCTTTATTGCTGGATTTAGGCTACAGTGGGAAGCCTGCGGAATTGCCGAGACAGTAATTTGCAATTAAATTTAAGAAGTGTTAGGGGTCAGACCTGGGGCAGAGATAGGCTATTTGAGCAGGCCACTTAAGAATAGAGCAAAGGTGGGTTACTTCCCACCCAGGCCTTCTGACTGCATTGGAAAGATGCCTCCTTAAGAAGGGGAAATGCCGGTTGCGTTCTCCTCTCTCAAAGGCGGAAAGAAGTAGGGGATCAGTGACCCATCCCTGACACCCAGTAATCCAGTCTCCCCTCCTTCCTCTCTCCTGTCCTGGCTGATCCCTGTGGGCCTGAAAGAGAGCATCTTCCTGGACCAGCCTGTGTGGCCGCCTGTCATTAGAGCCAAGGCCACGAGGCACTTGACGAAACAGTAATGGGGCCTGGGAACAAATCTAATTAGCTAATGTATGAAAACACAGACATAAAGAGACTAACCACCTCCACGACTTTCAGGGCTTGTGGAGGTTGAGGTGACCCTGGGCCTTATTAGTGCCATCAAGACCCTTTGGGAAGGTCCGAGGCACTGGGGCCCCTTTTGCTTTGTGGGGGGCCACTGAGAAGACAGGGCTGGTTCCAGCTTCAGATGGGGACAGATGCCTCTGTACAGTCTCTTAGGGGAGTCTCCCAGGCATTTTCGGGGTCAGGCTCAGGAACCACCTGTGAAGGAGCATGAGGAGCGGGCCGGGAAGGGGCAGTTGGTCTGCGGTGCAGCTACAACAGAGGCCTCAGCCCACCCGTGGGGAGCTCGGAGCAGGGGCAGCCCCAACAGTGGTCCCAAAGTGACAAAGTCTCCACTTTGTTCCCCCCCAGCAAAGGTCTGTCCCTCGTGGCCAGCTGTGCCCCACCCTAACCAGAGTGGAGGGAGCAGAAAGTCGCGCAGTCCCCGCTGAGTCTAGTGCAGTTCCCGGAGAAGGACTAGGCGAGAGCCACCAGCAGCCTGAAAGCAGAGGAAGATGCCCAGGGCCTGATGGGTGACCTGGGCTGCGCACCGTGCCACAGTCCACACAAGCAGCAGGAGGCTGTTTGCGGAGGCTGGCAGTGAAGGATGCCAGTCAAAGCTTGGGCAGAGCCGGAAATGGCATGTTTCATTTGAAAACACAGTATCGCTTTAAATAAAAGGAAAAGAAACATAAAAGATACTCAGTGCATGACTGCCTAACACCTGGATGAAAGAATGAATAAAATAATGAGATCATGGATGGGCATCCGGTATATAAAGAGGGCAACATTGCTTTTGGGCAGGTGTTTAACCTTCCTGTGCCTCAGTTTTGTCATCCTGTAAAAAGGGAATAATAATGGCACTGTCATCATTGATGCTTTTGTGAGGATTAAATAATTTAGTATGTTTAAATGCTTAGCAAAGGGCCTGGTAGAAGTGTTATCTGTGATGGGGACTATGCTGTTGTGGGGTGGTGGTGGTTACTCTCATGCAAAGTGCTCTCCCTCCACGACGGCCTCTAGGTACAGCCAGAGTCTACCGTCTCCCAAGAGCACAATTGCAAACCAGCAATCTATAGGGAAACCGTGGAGGCACACGTGTCATTTAGGGCTGGCTCAGGCTTTGGCTGGGACAGAGTTCTTCAAAGCGTGGGGACACTGGTATCTAGGGTCCGTGTATGGGGGATGCATAAAGCTTAAAGCAAGTGTCCCTCGTGTTTCAGTCCTAACTCAATCCTGATTATCTCAAGGGGAAAGTCTCAGGGTGGTGCTGGGGTGGACCCATACCTCTCTAACACCTGCTGCTCTCTCTTTTTAATGACAAGAGACTAGGCTGCAGACTCAGCAACCCCCCTCCCCCACCCCCAACCCCGGTGGGGGCAGAACCCAGCTGGATTTCAGTAGCATTGTGTTGCTTTCGGTGTTCTTATTTTTCTACTGACCATCTATTTATAAGCAAAATCTATTTTTTAATTACTGTTGGGAGAGAATGATTCTTCATAACGTAAGTTTTCTAAAAATCTGTAAGCCGACTTAAAGAAAAATGTGAAATGAATATATATGCGAGGGGGTTACGCAAATGACTAGATTGAGATGCGCTGGGTTTAAGGGGGCAGACAGGAAGCATTCAGGAGGCAGAACTGGCAGAGCTGGGACCGCCTGCATTCCTCCGCATGTAGTTTATGCCACAGAGAATGCCCCCCCCACCACCACCTTCTCAGCTCCATGTGGCTCCGATCCAACACACCTTTCCCATCCTTGCTTCAGGGCCTCTTCCTTTACAGAGTTTTCCCCCGATTCCTCCCCGGATGAGGAATCTCTCCCTGCTCTGCTCCCATAGCACCTCAGGGGCAATAAGGCTTCTCTATTCCCTTAGAGCAGTACAGACCAAATGCCAGTCGTCTGCGCCTGGCACAACACAGAGCACACAGCAGGCACTCAAATGTTCATTCTGAGTCTGCACGTCTCTAAACTGTGGCCAGGTGATAAGCATGCGCACTGATCCAGGCAAATGTTGCCAAAGATGGAAACTGCGGCCAAGTGCCATGGGGCCCCCTGCTGCCAGTTGCACGGGCCTGTGATTTAAGACTTTGCAATGATCGTACTTAGCTTAAGCTAAACCTGACGGGAGGAGGGTGTGAGGGCTGGGTGGTGAAGGACAGAAGCCAGCAGCCACCACCCCTGTTTCTGTGAGAAGTCCATGAGAGCTGAGAGCTGCGACAGCTCCTGTTTTGGCCCCAGGAGCCATCTACTCTCATCAAAGCCACTCAGGTCCTTGTGACACTGTCGTATCCTTCTCCCCATCAGACGTGATCGGCCCTCAGCGCTGGTTGTGTTAGCGGCTGATCAGTAGGAAAGAGGACTCTGAGCCAACAGTCTTATTTCAACGTGACAGTGACCTTCTGTCTGTTTCCACCTGGGGAGAGAGAGTTTGGCCTGGCAGAAGGCTCTCCAAAGTGCTCAGATGTGCAGACTGGGATTTGAACCTCCAGGTCCTCCGCTGAGGGCCTTGGGACCTCGGGCAAGCGACCGCTCCTCTGGGAGCCTTGGGTTTCTCATTGTGATCCCGGCCTCCACATTGTGCCAGTGGGGCTGGCACAGGGATGGGCAGGGGACAGGGAGCTCCTGCTCCGTAGAGTTCTGGTCCGCCACCCGGTCTGCTGGACAGTCTAGTCCAGAGGTCTCAAATGGGAACTGCTGCTCAAAATGGAGAGCTTTCCATTCATCCTGAGATTTCTTGTTCTTCAGGAAAATCAGAAGCACTGCAATATCAGGCTGGCTTTTCTACCTAACAGGGGGCCAGAGCTCAGTTATTTCTGCCCCCTCCAAACAGGGCCGTGGTTTTTATTTGAGGTCCTCATCCAAACTTGTGTCGCTGGAGTTTGTGGCCACTGGCTGGGCCAGTCCCCTCCCCTCACAGATTGGGAAACTGAAGCCCAGAGCCAAAATGGCTTAGATGCAGAGAGCCAGCTTTGGATGCCCAGGTCAGAGGCGACCCCGGAAGAGCTGCTACATCCACTGTGATGGTCCATTGTGGGCAAACAGAAGCAGGGGACAAGAGAGGACAGTGCAGGGCACTCCAGGGAGGGAAAAGCAAGCGTGAAGACTCACAGGGCCACAGGCCAAGCTGTAGTGGGGCCCAGAGAGGCCAAGGGACGCTGTGAGAAGTGAGGGGCAGATCCAAAGTTGCTGGCCCTGATGGGTGGCACAGTCTAGGGCAGCAAAGAGCTAACTACAGGGGGTAGACCAGAGGTGAGGGGCCAGTGTTGGGCACAGGATGGAAGAGAGAGAGGAACCGGGAAGGGAGGGTGGGTCTTCCACATAACCGGTCCTAGGGAGCAGGAAACAGCTGATGGCTGTCTGTCCCCACAAGGAGTGGGCCTCCTTGAGGCTGCAGAAAACAAAGCCCAGATACGGGAAAGAGAGAGAGGGGGGAGAGAGAGAGAGAGAGAGAGAGAGAGAGAGAGAGAAAATACTCCTGGTGTTAACTTGAACTCCCAGATCCAGCTTGTTTCATGAGTTAGTAGGTACCCACCCCACCTAGGGCTGCCAGAGAGGAAACAGGTTAGCCCATGAAATTTTGAGTGTCTGACCCAGAGTATTTTTTAGCATAAGTATGCCCCATGCAATATTTGAGACCTATCTGTACAAAAAACTAGCTGTTTATCTGAAATTCACAGTTAACTAGGCATCCTGTATTTTCATTTGCTAAATCTGCAACCCTAACCTCCGCCCTCCTTTGGGCTTAAGCCAGCCTGGTTGGACCTCTGACTCTTGCACCTGAAGGAATCTCAATGAAAGCAGACGGTTGAGAGGTGACTCAGCTTGCCCGGGGTCACAAGGCCAGCCAGCCAGTGAGCAGCTGGATTAGAACACAGGTCTGTGACTCAGAAGCCTGTGATTCCCACCCCACCCCCGCCCCGCTCCCTGAGAGCATGGAGGATAGCAGAGAACAGACGATCTGAAGCTAGAAGTGGGTCTGAACAGAGTGTGGACTGGGGAAGGGGAGAGAGATGGGAAGATGGACTCAGTTTTGTCGACTGACAGAGGGGACATTCATTTTTTAATATTTCGTGCAAACTCTCTCCCCACATATTTGTCAAGCCACCTACCAGGTGCAAGGCACTGTGCTTGTTTCTCCGCCCCTTCTGATGAGCTGAGAGTATCATGGTTTATCCTTCCCACTTTTCAGATGGGAGAGTGAGGCTGAGAGAGACCACAGGTCTGGGAGCCACGAGGAGCCCTGAGCTCCACGCCCCACCCTGCCGCCCACATAGCGGCCCGTCTGCTCCAGTGCTTTGCTGCCCTGGCTGCATGTTCAAACCCGACCTCCCATCCCTTGCCTGAGCCGAGCAATAAAACTGAAATTGCTAGTAAACGTTCAGTCTGTGCCTGCCCTTCGTGTGTCTGTTGCGACATACCTGCTGTTTTATCCTGTCCCCCCCGCATCAGGCCACCCCCCAGCCCCCCAGTGCGGTCTCCTTTCCATGTTGCAGGATGGAGGCTGCTGGGGAGGAGGGACAGGAGCCCAGGGCCTCAGCGGTGCCGGAAGTTAGATCCTGGCCTCCGGTGCCATGGTGACGGTTACCATAGAAACGCACAGGCTGCACTCAGCAGGACTGCCAGGATGTGAGCCGGTTTTCATAGACTGGAGCCAACGGAGAGGGGGATCTCAGTAGTGGTGAGAGACACCCCCCCACGCCCCAAGGTGAGGGCCAAGTCTCGTCTTGGGGCTACCCCACTTGTGTCTCCGTCTTCCTCTCCTGCCACTTTCCACTTATCCCTTCGCCTGATTCCATGCAGTCTGCAGTCTCAGTGGCTCTGGCCGCTGTTTTCTCAGTCTGGAACAAGCTTTCTGGCTTCTTCACTTGGCTAATTCCTCCTAATAGCCTCCTTGGCTGAGACCCTGCAGGCCTTATCCTGATGCTTTCTTCTGTTCAACAAATCCTTACTGAGTGTCTGCTAAGAACAGGACACTGTTCTTGTGACTGGGGACCGAGGCAGACAAGGGCTCTGCTCTCCTGGCGATGTCCGTCTAGGTGGAGAGGCGCAGGCACGAAAGAAGCATGCAAGTAAAGGAATGGGAGTACATTCAGACAGAGCCGTGGGGAGAACAAAACGCGGGTGCCGAGGCAGGCAGCACTGGGCTCTGGGGATTGGAGGCCAGGGAAGGTATGTCTGAGGAGCCACATCCCTCCCCGAGCCCTCTGGCTCTCCTCACTTGTGCTGCCTGGTCCCTGTGAGTCAGGGACCAGCTATAATGTTTCTGCCTGTCTTCCACCTGGAAGTGCTTTCTCCTTGAAGGCAGGAGCAAAGTGTCATTTGTCTCTGTGTCCCCAGTGCCGGTACACAGCAGGGACATGATAAGACACATGCATTTACCGGGTGTGACCCATGGGTCGGGCAGTGTCACAGAGAGCTCCCATGTCCCCTTTATAATTGATTCCATGACATACATGGAATTTGATTACATTCAATTGCTTTAGGGATTCAGGAACCAAGCTCGGCCAGGGTCAGTATAATTAGCTTCCAGTCAGCTGGCTAGTGCATAGTAGGGCTGAAATTCAAACCCAGTCTGACCTCCATGTTCCTTTCTGGCATCGTTGGTGACAGCTTTATGGAGATATAATTCACATACTTTACACTTCACCTTTTTAAAGCATACATGGTGGTTTCTCGTT